TTCATGTTTATATTAGTATTAGTGTAATGAATGTCCGTATTCGCCTGAATATAAGTGCTATAATAATATACTACTAATATACTCAACAAATAATCCATGTCAGATCAAAAAAGTTGCAATTATATTAATACTAACAACCATAACAATATGCGTACTAGTATTTGAAGGATTAATAATGATATTAATGTAAAGATTGGCATTAGTATTAGCAAAAGTATTTGCGTTAATACTAAATAATATGAATATGATGGTTTGTGATCGCAACAATATTAGTGTTGGTATTACTCTTGAGTTTCGTATCAAAAATAGCATTAGCCAAAGTATCACTGGTACTATGAGCAGTACTGTTCGTAGGTGTATTAGTATTAAAAAAAAAAATATATATACATACATACATACATACATACATACGGGCTCAGAACACGCCGATAGGAGCCGATCGCTATCCTAGAAGGTATTCTGTAAGGTGTTCAGGTTATAGGAATTCAACCAAGTAGATATGAGGTAGAACGGAGTATTCTGCAAGGTATTGCTTAGGGTATTCCATATGAAGTTCTTCAAGGTTTGCAGACGGGGTATGCTGTAAAGTTCTCTACAAGGCTATTCTCCTAGTTTCCTTCATGGAAATGAACTTGGTATACGGGTTTTCATTCGATGATATCTGTGTGTGTGTGTATGTGTACTGTACGTTATCGCGTAAGGCCATCCTATAATATAGCACAAGGACCACGTCACAGTATACACAAAGGTTCCTGCCACATATATTTATATTGGGCTCCCAGCCCCCAATCAATTATATGCAGGTTGGGGGTTAGGAGCTGTCTCCCTCCAAGAACCAAAAAAAATCAAGGTCCTCCGTCCCTTCCCTCTCGTTGTCTCCCCTCCCTGCCTCTCCTCTGGGGCCTTGGGTGGATAGATCCTCAACGCATGTCTGAGTTTTATTGCCGGGAGATTGATTGATGGAATATGCCACTTAACCATGATAGATTCTGATCAGCATTTCTCAATATGTTTTGCTGGTACATGGCTTGTTGGAACATGCAACTTAACTATGACTATGAATGGTGTCAAGTTCTTTGTCTCGTCCGACCACCTACCTCCTTCCCAATCCGTGAACAGCACCTGGCCCCCTCGCCTTGACAGAAAGTTCGCAAAAATATTTGAAAGCAGTCACAACATCCCAACCACCACCCTTCAGGTAGCAACTGGCCAAACTGGGGATGGTTGGATGAAGAGGTAAACTAAACTGAATGGAAATGGTTGGGAGGAGGGGGAAGCCATCCTTGCATGAAGTCTTGCGTGCAACTACCCCACCCTGGCTCATCCCATTTCCTGATCTCCTCATCCCCCTCTGCGTTCCACCATACCATCTGTCCCATTCCGCCATCCGCATTGTACTCCAAAAGGCCCTCAAACAGGCTCAACAGGTATCATAGATCCTCAAAAAGCATGTGTCATTATGTATTGCAGGGGCACGGCTTGATGGAGTGTACAACTTGGGTGTGAAGGGTTTCAAGTTCACACCAACAACCACTTTCTCAACCTGTCATCTCTTACATCCTCAAAAGCAGTTTCAACCTCCAAGCCGCCACTCATCAGGCAACACCCCGGACTCGCCTACATGCTCTCAGAAGGTCTCAGTCAAGCTCTCAGTCTCAAACTGATGACTGACCAAACAAGGGATCGCTGTATGAAGAGGCATGGCTGAGTAGAAATGGTTGCGGATGCGCATGACTGGCTCTCACCTTAACCCCTCAGTGCGGATGGCCGAATGGGATGGGGGGAATGGGTGGATGAAGGGGATGCAAGGCATGAGTGGATGGGGACGGGTGGATGGAGTGGAGGGGAGACGGCTGGAAAGGCTTCGACCCCGGCAAGGGTTGGCACAAAAGAAGCTTCCCGTGGCTTCCAGAAGAGCACATCATGCTTCACTTTCATTACAACTCATGCCATCCTTGCATGAAGTCTTGCGTTTACCTACGCCACCCTACCTCATCCCATTCTTTAACCTCATCCTTTTCATTCCGCCATCTCCACCCTGCTTTACGTTGCTCCCAAAAAGGTCATAGGTTCTCAGCAGCTTTTCTCAAATCTATTGCTGTGACATGGCTTGACGGAACATGCAACGTAACTATGACCATGAAAAGTGTCAAGTTCTTCGTTTCCCGCATGCAACCACCCACCAGAAAGTTATCATAGGTGTTTGAAAGCAGTTTCCAGGTCACAACCACCGCCGTTCGTTGTGAAAGGGAGCTTCTGCTTGCTGTGTTGTCTCCGTCGTCGGCGTTGTCGTCGTTATTGTCGTCGTCATTGTTGTCGTCCTTGCCGAGCCCTGAGGGACCTCAATCCTTAAGTGATACAAACAATTATGAATAGATATAGGTATTTGTATCTAAAACAAAAGAGGTCGCCAAACTATACATAAAGGTCCATGCCACACACACATATATACATATATAAACACAGGAATATATGTGTGTGTGTATGTATATGTATATATATATATATATTTACACACATGTATAAGTTCATGTGCATGTTTATGCTTGTATATGTATATATGTATGTGTATATTCATGTGTAGGCATATGTTTATGCGATGTATGGGTATATGTATATGTATATGTGTATGTATATGCATATGTATATGTGGATGTATATGTGTATGTGTATGTGTATGTATATGTGTATGTGTATGTGTATGTACATGTGTATGTGTATGTGCATCAATGCAAGTGTATGTACATGGTACGTACATGAATACCTTTGTACACCTGCTTAGCTACATACATACTCATTTCTTCGTTGATAACTTCTGCTTTCTTGAGTGGTTTCGGAACCGGGCACAGCTTGCCACATGCTAAGTGTCAAAGCGCGAGCAGGAAGCCATGACTTGAGGTTTGCCTTGCTGTTGACTTTGATTGTTTTGCGGTGGTGCAGTGAAGTTGACTTGTTTTTATCGTTGTTCAGGACGTACGACTAGTATTTTGTTGTTCGTTGGACATCTTCTTCTTGGTCGTGATCTGCCTGGCTACCCCTGTGAGATAAAGTTTGGACTTTTTCGACCGGCTGAGGTTTGCAAAATCGAAGTTTGCCATACGAGCCGCCGGAAGAGCTTCGAGGTACTGCATGACCTGGTAAGTGTTGGGTAGCCACACAAATTTGCAGGCATTTGCAGCCTCGGTTCAACATCTGGTTCGCATGAACAACAGGAGGCTGGGGAGATTTCCAGTCGAGCCGGTTGGAGCTTTCACAGTTAATGTCCTGTTTCTGATTGTTCCTGTTTTCTTATTGCTCAACTAGCTGTGCTCATCCAGATTGCTCTTGCACATCTCTCTCTTGGCTCCACCTTACAGCAAAAAGTGACCGTAGGGAGTGCGAGTAGAGAGGAACTCCGGTCATCTGCACAGTAGTTTGCTTAAAGGCTTTTTTGCCGCTCATCTGATTTAGCATGTGCTATGTCTGATGGTTGACGTGTGCGACGTGCTTCTTCAAGGGTGGCAGTGCTTCTAGGTGTGGGAGGTGTCCCAAGGCTCAATCTTGTCAACAGGCACCATGGAGCCCAGTCCTTTAGGATGCTGCAGGTTCTCGAAGGTTCGATTGGGATGGCCCGGGATCCTGCGGAGCCCTTGGCTCTCGGCCTCATCATTCAGGAGCTGCTGACACCGTAGTAAACCCTGACCGGAGCGTTTGCGCTTAGTTTGGTTGCAGGATTGCGACATCCAACAGCCAACAGGCACCGGCTGGCGAGTGCGAGAGAAAGGCAGAGAGAGAAGAGACGAAGCCTCCTGCTCTGAGGCTCCGCAGAGGCTGCAGCCCCGTCCTTGGAGTTGCCCCCCGCCGAAGGCCCGCCGGCTTGTCCGGACGAGGCTGCGTCACCAGCCACCGTCGATGTGGCGTGCCCTCGCACCGAAGAAGAGGAGCTCGAGCTGTCGGACGGCAAGGAGGTCAGCACAAAAGGCCTGGCAGCAGCCGAGGCTGTCACTTGCAGTGACTCGGAGAATGAAGCATGGACGTGTGTCGACTGCAAGTGTCCTCTACCGTGGGGGTCCGATTGGCGTCAGGAAGATACAGTTTTTTATTGCAAGCCGTGCTTCAATGACTTTGACAACAGGTGGTGGGATTTTCACACCCGAGACGTCGTGGACACCGACCCGGCTCATGATGAGAGATGTCAAGACAAGCTGCCCGACTTGGGGGCGTCTGACACCCCAGATGCGCTCCAATCCAGATCCGTGGCGGGTACGGTGCTAATCCAACTCTTGAAGCCTCTGCTGCAAGGCAATCTCCACGCCGATGCTCGCTTGTCAGGGGTTGACTCACTGGCAGTCCTGACCCTTTGCCGTCAGCTCCGCATGGCCATTCCCCATCTGACAATACGGCCGCAAGATGTTTTCCAGTGCAGTACTGTCCAGGATCTGTTGAGCATGGTCGAGAAAGAGACGGACTCAATCGAGATGCAGAAAGAGATGGCACCAGGAGTCGTGGGAGACGTGGGCGTCGGTCGAGCGGTTTGGTTTGCACCGGGTCAGGTGAAGAGTACCTGCAAATGGCTTTATGGCTGCCGTGGTTTGTTGGACGAGCGCTGCTTCAGGCGTGCTGCTGCGCAGCTTATTGCTCGGCATGAAGGCTTACGTGCAGAGTTTGAAGATGGGGCAGGAATGGAGATCCTTCGCTTCATGCGCGATGTCGTTCCTCTTCATCTCGTGATCTGGCAAGAGCTGGAGAAGCTGAAGCTTGATGGATTTTCCAAGCGCTTGGTGCGGGGCTGCCGGAGGCTCGTCTCGGCGGCTTTCAAAGGCAGTTGGCCTCGATCGGTAGCTCAACGTGTAACGAAGAACTTCTTGGAAGACAGGATCTGGGTGGTGCATTGCAAAACCTGGCGAGAAGTAGAGCAAGCATCCCATCGGCTGCGACAAGAATGGGAGGTGCCTTTTACCCTGGGGCTCTTCTTGCTCAAAGGGGATGCGAAGCAACCAGTCGAGCACGGAAAGTTGCCCGGAGAAGCTGACAGCCCAGAGGACCCAGGCTTTCTACGAGCTGTTGACTGTACGTAGGTCTCGAGACGAGTGTTCTACCGAGCTAGAGTCAGCTAGAGCCACGCGAACTTGCAGGACTGGGGTGCTCCAAGCAGCTTTCTTCAGTTCGTGGTTTCCCATGCTTACTCTGCAGTCTTCATGCAAAAAGGTAGTTTCGGTAAGATGATTGAAGACGTCATGATGGAGTTGCAGCATGCTCGATGTAAGGACGGCTACAGTGGTGTGCCCTTGGTGCAAGATTTTGCATCGCTCTACGTTCAGGAGGAGGCTCGCATGCGAATGTACTTTGTAAGCTGCCAGACTGAGCTGGCAGGAAGTTCTGCTAACAAGCCCGAGCTCAACGCTCAGCCTGCGTCATCGCACCATTGTCTGCAGCGTTGCACAGATGAGGTACGCTGCAGCCAGCGAGTTACGCGGGCAGGTCAGGTTCACCAGACACAGACAGACAAAGACAGACGCACACAAAGCGAGATAGAGAGAGAGAAGACATGACCAGCCAGTCCAGCCCTTCAGGTCGGACTTGAATTCTCTTGTCCCCTTGCCTTGTGGTGCTGCCTTTGAGGCGCCGCGCTCTGCAGTTTCGACTCGAGTTTCGACTCTGGGATACTCTTGCAAAGCTGTAGCAGGTGTTGGAATCGAGGCTGTTTGCCGCGATGGACTTCCAGCCACCGTGGAGCAATCCGGAGCCCTGCCCTGCTCAGACATGATAGGTACGCTAGATACCATGTCCTGCAAGGTTGGGGGAAAGAGCGCAGCAGCAAAAATACCAAGACCAGCAGAACGGAGGAAGGAAGCGGACACGTTAGCTACGGGAAGACAACGTACCTGTACAACAGTCTGGCTCAATCTGAAGCTATCCTCGAGTTGGGGATTGGCTTCTATCATCGTGGATGGCCAGGCATATGGGCTAAGGCCGCCCAGACAAGTGGACAATTCAACACTTGTCCAACAATCGCTGTTGGTCACATTGGATGAGGGCAATTCAGAAAAAACTGTGACACCATGACCATGACACTGCTTCGTTTGCGTTTGGCCGCCAAGTCAGTCAGCTTGACGTAGTCTCCCGTGTACAGTTCAATGTGCGGAAGCTGCTGTTCTTTGTTCTTGCTGGGTTCCTTCCTTTCTGACTGCCCTCCCTTTCCAGGTCCGGGATGATGAACTTGGTCATATTGGACTTTCGTGTTCGCCTGCTGTTGCGTTTGGTAAGGTCTACGACATGTGGAGCAATAATTTACGGCATAATGTTGGTGCAGCTGAGTAGGTTCCAGGACCATGGATGGATTTCATCCTCCGAGGCATTGGTGCAGTGCCTTCCCTTCTTCACATGCCGAGTGCAAGAAGTGTTTGAAGGATTGGGCGGTTCTTTCACGAGTCCTTGTCTACTCCTGGCTGTGTCTATTCCGACGTTCGAAGTCAACCGCATGCTCAATTTGCTCCCCGGTTTTGTGCCGGCCAAGGCTTGCGCTGGGTGTGATTCCAAAATTGTTGAAGGCTGCGAGTCAGCGTCTGGCTGTCTGTTTGGTTGCGGATGCTCTTGCATCATTGCCCATTGCCGGCGTCCTTCTCGGCCTCCGCTTGATGCAGCTAAATGCTTTCGCGGGCCTTACCCGATTGCACAGTCATGCACAGGCATATAGACATGTTTGGTGTTTCCGTGAGATCAATGTAACTCGCTCTGCAATCCTGGTCATGTGGAACGAGGGTCAACGTTTTCTGAAACGTGTGAGCTTCTTATGAGAGATGAACTGCAGCGCTTAGTTGTGGGTGGTGCATCTTGCGTTGCCTCAATCAGGTGTAGCGATATTGTCGCTGCCCCTCGGCTAATGTTCAACATTAGCAGCGCTGCAGGCTGTGACTGCAAAGTTGCGACTGAATCAGCCATGACATCCCTGATACGCTTTCCCAACCACCAACCATACTGAATGCTACCAGACGACATCGGCCATGTCAAACCAAGGCGCAACTGCCACAGGAAACCCAAAAGAGGCAGCTAGGCCCACCAGAGCCAAGAGTCTCCACAAAGTTTCGAAACACCAACTATAGTTTCCGCACCAGAATTGCAACACAAAACATCTTTGCCGGTGCCATAGTATCTAAGACGACTTCGAAACCGGCGCTGATCGATGTGTTCGTCGCTGCTGATAGAACTTAGTCTGATGGATTGCTGGCTACATGTGTGTGTGTGTGTGTTTTTTGTCCTCGATAGCCCGGCTCGGCGCCGTTCCGATCAAGTCCAGCCCACTACAATCCCATCCGGCAGTGCACACATCATGCACTTGACATCGAAAAGCGCCACCGACCATCGCTAAAGTGGCATAACCTTTCCGGTGTCATGCGACTTGTTCGATTTCCGCGGGCTATGTTTCTGTAGTTGCAGCACGCGTCTCGTGACAAATGGATGTCGTGTTTGCAATTTTGTGCCAACTGGTTGGTACCCAGGATCATGAATCATGCTGATGAATGCTGGAACGTGCACACAGGGTGGGCATGAGCTTGCCGACATGTGTTTGGCCAGGAGCAGCTTTCGCTACGGGCTGGCATTTTTGACGAATTGCCGAAGCGTCCACCCTGGGTTTACGACCACGAGGCAGCTACTTGTTAACCCTGTCAGATGCTATCGTAGTCATCAATCTTCAGCCAAGATTTACTCCACAATCCCAGAAACCTTTCATGGTCAGCATTTGCAGGTTCTTCTGGAGGGCTCGGCAGTGGAAGCGCTCCAGAGAAATGCAAAATCGTGCGCGTGCGGGGGGTTTGGATGCAGCATTCGCAACAGCTTTGGAACATCGAGAAAGAGCTTGGAGTGCCCATCTGCAAATTGCAGGTACGGGCTGCCATTTGACGTGGTGTTGCTTTCTGTCGTTTTGGCGGCAAGCTTCAAAGCAACATGGAGTCAGGAGAAACTCAGGCAGGCTTGCAACTCGCATGCTCATGGTTGATGCTCTGTAGGCCTGTAGGTATTGTGCTCAGTTTATGCCATTCTCACAAGCTTGAACGACCTTCGAAGGATGAGTGAACGCGCCAGCTCACGACAGTCATTGTGTCTTACCAAAGTTGTACTGGCGGTGTGAAAACGATGCTGAGCTGCGACACTAGTTTGCATGTTCACATGGGGGCAACTTGCGAGAATGTCCAACTTTCTAATTACATCTCTATGAGAGCTTACCTCAAACCTGTCATACTAGTAGCTGTGTCGTCGCCTGATCTAGGACTTAGTCTCACCCCCATTCAGACAAGACAAAATCAAAACCCACGTCGTTTGGAATTGCGCGACAGGGATGAAAGGTCTGCAATGTGGCTCTAGCAAGACAAACACCGTTGTCTTTCTTTACCTCTCTTAGACTCAGTCCTGTCGTTGTGTCCCTTCAGAAAAGTTGCAGCATGCTTTGGCCAGGTGTTTCTACAAAGGTGTATCGTCTCAGGACTCAGCGCTGCAGTTTGGGGGCAGTTCTGCTTGTCTGCTCTTCGTCAGCCATGAGACGCTTCAGCAGATCCTCGCGAGACTTCTTTTGCAATCCTCAGGACTTTGAGGCTTCCAAGACTGAGTTGTCCCTTCCATTGACTCTCTACGCACCGATGCACTTCCCTCGGCGCCCACTGTACGATCGAATGAGTTGTTGTCGCTTGGAACTTAAGGCGAGATGGAAGCTTGAACGACGCCATGGTGGGCCTCTTTAGTGATTGGAGGGTGCATCGCCTCAGACATCCACATGACTCTACGTTCAATGGAGAGCAGTTATGTGCTGATGATTCGCAGTAGTCGGGAGTAGTCGGGGCTCGATGCGAGGATGTGACAATTGCCTGCAGCTCGTCAGTTAGCCTGCTACACCCTCGGGCCCTGTGTCAATGGAAATGCTCAGTGATCGCACTAGGCTCCTGACCCGAGGTTGGGCTTTTGTTTGGATGTTGCGGATCTTATCCGCTTCCGCAGGCAGAGCTGTGGAAGCGCCAAGGTTTCCAGAACTTGGGGTTAACACATGTCAGGTGGGCAATGTTCGACCCGGTTCAGAACTCCAACAACATTTTAGTCAACATCCTCCCGCTAGACGAGCAGGACGACGCGTGCTGCGAGGGGCATCCAAGGGCCACGAGCATGACTCCACAGCGGTTGGACAGGCACGAGGTCGGCAGCACTTCAAGCAGACCCGAGCCCATGAGCGGAGACCTGAGAAAGCATGCTTGTGCCTGTGGTGGGCCTTTTGCTTCATTGCAGGTATGGTGGCATGCGCCAGGCAGCAGCCGATCGCCGCAGGACCTTCTGTCTTCTCGAGACGCGTGGTCTTGACATCCGTTGAGCAGGGCGTACAAGGCTCCACACCGCCCAATGCGGATAACATTGGAACAAGAGGCCAGGAGAGGGCGGTCCATGGGGGTTCGTTGCTGCGCGTCCCCGCAGGCTCCGGATGCATGGCCCGGCCAGCGTGTTTGTCCTTGCATTATTTTTCGCAGTTACCAAGCTTACATTCACAAGCCAAGACTTTTGAAACGATTTCCGCTCAAGCAGATGCGCATGCAACAGCAGCGCCTCTCATCTTCTATTACTTTGAACATGTAGCAGACAGTGCATTGACTGGATTCAGATAATCACATCTCTTCCAGCAAAAACTTTCACACAGCTTGCACGACGTCAAAACAGGCTTGATGACTACTGCAATTTGTTTGCTTATCGCAGTTACCCAACAGATCATGCCACCACATGCCCCGGCAGAATACAATCACTGAGGTTTACTTTGCACGCGCCCCAGACAAGGGGCTGTGTGTGTGTGCACTTCTCTCGAACATGAGATAAGGGGTTCACAACCCTTGCGTTTTTCAGGCTTTTCAGTGCAGTTTGCATCACGTCGGCATGGGCGATAAACATCGTGAGGAACTTTTGTTTCGCAGCGGCGTGCAGCACCTTTGGCATACTGCACGCAACGAAGCTACTGCCAAAGGTGGGAAGGGATCAGGGACGCCTGATCCTGTACCTGCAACAAAGTTTGTGACATCCTACTCTTACAACTTACAAGCTGTACATGGTGCCATCTTGTGATATCGGCGCTGTACAAACATAGTCATGGACTTTGCAGCCAGACCGCAACAGCCTCAGTTCTGCAGAGCTTCAGTCGACATGTACGGTTGCAGCAATCTGTCTTGTGCTAAAGGCTCTCAACACAGCACAGCAATCGCACATAGACACAACACAACATCTAGCTGACACGTAATGTAACATCACATCCGTGAGTGCGCGAGCACTTTCTCAGTGTGTGTGTGTGTGTACGTGTGCACGCCTGGACATGGCGACCTTTGAGTGAGAATACAACTTTACTGCAGGGGGCAGTGCATGCCTGACAGTCACTGCCCAAAAAATCGAAGACACTGTCAGTGCATGGTGATATNNTCTGGCCTGATCAGCCAGACGTACCTGGTTTCGGAGGTTTCGGATTAGCCAGTGGACCCACTGTGGCACTGAAGTAACCAACTCTAGAGTGAAGCTTCTATGTCATTCCGTATGGTCCTGTCAGTAGCTTGTCGCAGTCATTCGTGCCGTGTGTCGTTTTGGAAATCCCGACATGGGGCCAGATCAGAGTGGGGGCAAACGCCCAACCAAGCCCGCGATAGCGGATGATAGCGTCTTCAGCTATTTGGACATATTCATCGACACCCGGAATCTATAGAGAACAAGTCTACATATATGAGTTCACATGCATACCGGCATATCAGGGCACCCAATAGGCCAGGCCGCCCAAAAATACACTGGGCCGAATCCTGCATGGCACAAGCAGCGCAGCGTATTGATCACCTAATGTCGGACCAGGCACCTCCTCATGACCACATACATCACGATTTTTTTGAAATTCCCTCCTTTCAACAAGTACGATATGCCCACAGGGCATCGGGCCTTGTATGGATGGACAATACCTCCTTATTCCGTTATGTCCATCCTAAATGCCAGGACCGCACGTACTGGCAGAAGATCGTGCACAAGCCCAAAAGGGACAGGGGACGCCAATTTAAGCCACCAGTAATCGAATTAGGATAGGTCGGTGCTGATGGGCTCGAACAGAGAGCCTTGCGCGTTCGAAAAAAAAAGTGCCAAGGCCACAAATAATGTCAATCATCATCATGTGTTGCAGTTTCCTCGCCTTGTTCATTCGGAGACTGGTCCACGAGTGGATTGCCTTGTGATCGACTGCATATGCTGGCGTTACTTTACAAGGGCTGGGGTTGAAACAACGCGATCAAGGCAGGCTTCAGGCAGAGCCTGTGTGCGCGTACTGATAGTGCTTATGCAGTAGTTTTGAGTGCAGTGCCAGGACTGAAGTTTCCTCCGTGCTGTTGGGTTGCTGGTTGATTCTCGTGTTGTTTGATTTTCGTGTTGTTATGTTTCTAACTCTCTTCTCCTGTTGCTGCAGTCATGGTTGTCTTGCTACCGCATGTTCGGCGGCATTGACTGACTGCTCGAGTGTGAACTTGCGCCCCGTAAAGAACATCTGTGCCGAGCGCCGTACCTTCCTGTACACGTGATGCAGATGCCTCCTCCGAGTTTTGCCCTGCCTGCACAGTTCCCTGAAGCAATGTGCCCTGGGCGCGAAGGAAATAAAGCCCGTGAAAGGGAAGAAGTGCAACAAGGTTCTTCCAGCCGTACCCATACGGTGGAGTTGCAGCGCCGCTTGCGCCGGCGCAAGCATGCCGCCCGCCAGCGTAATTCCGAGGTGCCCAAAATCATAGCCCGGCTCTCCAGGTCTCCCAGAAACAAGTCCCGCAAGGAGCACCGCAGAAGCCATAGCCGGGGATCTGTCAGCCCCCAGCGTGCCACCTTGGTTTTGGTGCCAGGGCCTGGTGATCTTGCGCCTGCAGCACGGCATCTACCGATTCCTCCCCCAACTTCCACGAAACACCTGCCTCCATCCCTGTGCGGCCTCCAGGCCAAGCTTCGCAGCATTTCATGCCACCGCAGGGTTTGGGTCTAGCTTGTATTTCCCTGGCTTATTGGGGAAGTAAGGCCAAGCATGGTCGATAAGCAGGCAAGAGGCAGCTGAAGCAGCCAACGCCCCGGACGGGATCAAAGTTACAGCTGAGCTGCATCCACGCGAGCACGTCAGGCCCCTGACCCGTGGACATGGACGAGTGCGACCGACTTGCTGACACCATTGCAGCAGCAGAGCCGTGCCTCCCGACCTCGATGGCCAAAGAACTTGCGTATCTCAGCCTCGCCTCAGGCCTTGGGTGCTCAAGCCCGGGAACCGGGCTTCGGCCGAGCAAGGAATCGTTCAAGTCAGGGTCGTGATCTGCTGGTGAACTGACAGATTCCCGAAACATATGCCTGAAGGTCAGGGTTAGTGCGATTGCGGGTGTGACTATTTCGGAGAGAGCGGAAGTAAGAAAATCACAAAGTCCGTTGACTCCAAGTGCGCATTGCAATGTAAAGTAAATCATAAAGCTCGTGGCAGGTGGGTCAACCTGAACATCAATGCCGACTTTTTTTCGACTTCTTGGTGTCGTTCATTCGTAAAGAACTTGAAGGAGTGTGTGCAGGCCAAGGGTTACAAAGGTAAGGGTCTCCCATGCTGCTCGGCAACAGGCTTGTCCTCCTGATGTGTTGTACATTACTTATATGGGTGCACCGCTGACCATGCCTGCTGACAGCTCGACGCCTTTCCGATTACTTGTGGACGGCTGCACGACTGTGGACATCGTTGTTTATCATACTGCTGAGCGTATGCTTCCCATTAATTACCTTCCATGCATGGCATCGGCCTCGGCCGAGAGAATAATGGAATGCTGCATCAATGCCATCTGGCTGTGTGTTGTAGTGTGCTGTTTTGGCTAAACACAGTGTTTCTGCTCTTTGTGGACAGGATTTGCAGCGCCAACCGTTGCGGCCAGTACTGGTTGCAGGCACAGCTGTGGGCATGATCTTTGTGCAGATGCTTGCAGGAAGCATATAACGGCCGGCGTATCAGCTGTTCGACATCGTTCCTGCACCCCCCCGCAAAAGGTGCAGGTTGAGGCGCAGTGCTGCCCTGGGTTGCCCGGCAACAAGTCATGCGTCTTGTGCGATGCTTGCAAAGAACACGAGCTGTTCATGTTGTGAGCGATCTGTGTATGGGCCAAGGCAATGCTGAACCAAGCCATCCTCGTGCGGTAAGCTGGCTGACTGCCTGATTGCTCCGTAACACGGAGTCGAGCTTGCGCAGTGGTTCCAAAGTTGTGCCCATTTCTCGCCTACGCTGCTTGCACCATTGCTGTGCTGCAATACCCTCGTCATGGATTCACTGCAAGCTGCTGGTGCAAATCCGCATATTCGGCCAGGCAGTGGTTTGCAGAAGCTCGTCGTAGCCTAGATCGAGTGCAGCTGTGTGCCACGCTAGAGAGTTCTAGGACATCCGGCTCTTAGGCTGAGGTTTAGCTGCAAAACCGTTCTCCCCTAAATGAAGTCACATATTCCTCAAATGTACTGCACCAGACCTGACAATCATTATGATGGCGTGGTGGCGGTTTCTCCTGCTGCTTTCCTCGTCTCTGGCTTTCCGCAAGAGTGACTTCACAGATTGGGACTGCCGGCGAGTGAATTCAAAGCTTGTCCTGTGGAACACGCTCCGGGAAGTTGCTGTTGCAGAAGCAGATGCCGCGGAGTCTTCTCTATTCACTGTCCCGAACCTGGTGTCCACAGTGAGTGAGCTTCTGGGCAGCAATAACAAGCATTTCGGTGTCCACGTCTTCTTCGCATTTTGGCGGAGTTCTGAACTTTGTTTTCGCACAGAGCCCATTTTCAACTAAGTTTCGAGACATCCACTGAAGTGTTCGAGATGCTGTTCACTGAATGCCCGCTGGGCACGATCTTTCTTCTGGAGATCGCGCTTGGCAGCTGCCTTTTGAATCATGGCCAGTACACCTTCGAGCCTTGCGACTGGGCAGTTTCATGTTCAGACAGCACAAACGGAACAGCAGACACTTCATCCCACGGCACCGGCTTCCTTAGAAGCACGGTGGCTTCGAGACATCCGGCAGACCAGTCAACCGTGTTCAAGAACGTGCATCCCTGGAACCGATCTTAAATCCAAGCTTTTCAAACTAAGTCAGAAGCTCAGGCGAAGCGACCGGAGATTTGTTGATGGAGTTCATGCTTCGGCGAAACGTTTCTATGGCTATGCTACTCACAGCAACTTGGCCCATCAAACAGGCCCTTGACATGCCGTTTCTGTACGAGTTCGGGGCGGACACAGCCAGCAGCTGGCACACGGTCCAGAACAGCCCGGTTTACATCTGTGACCAGCAGGTTGCGGATAATGGCGAGGGTGGATTCGAGTGGCCGCAGCTCCAAGAGCTCATCTGGATCGCGGTTCGAGACGAAGAGCAGGTTTTGCCAAAGGTTCGCAACTTGATTTTCGGGAAGGACATCGCTCAAGTTGCAGAACATTCTCGACCTTACAAGTCGTAATAGTTCGGGTTTATTCAAATTAAAACTGTTTCCGCAGCCCGAATGAAGTGGTTGTGAGGAGATACAGAACTTGGTGACCGACCAGTTGCAAGATCCGCACCACTTCCTGCCCGACTGTTTGTCTGGATGGATTGCCACGCTGCTCCTAGACGTGCTGGGAGGGATGTTCTGCTTTGGGGTGCAAAGGTTGTCTTTATTTGCTGCTTTGTGTGTGTGTGTGTAACTGCTTCAGATGGCTCTGGTCCTGGTAGATACAAGGAAGGGTCGGCTTGAGGTTTGCTAAGCCCCGGCAATGGCCTCTACGTGGATATCATGCCATGCCAGATAGACAGAAGACTCATAATCCTTTTGAAGATGCCGAAGCACCTTCTCCTTCCGAGACCGGCCCCACAAGACAACGAAGGCCTGACAGCAACTGCTCTCCAGTTCGAGGCCCCTCCCAAATTTGCAAAACACGCAGGTTCGTTCATGTGGGCTTATCGTCGAGTGTGTAAGTCTGAAGGCAGACTGGGTCCGATTGTGCCTGAACTTGCCGTCATGGTTCTCACTGCTGGTTTGTTCTCGAGTATGCCCCGTGTCCCGAATCTGCTACCTGAAGGCGTCCCGCAGAATCATGGAATGTTCCGACAGTGCTTGCCGGGGCGTCTGCTTGGTGATTTCGGCCATGTGTAACGCAGCATGGACCACAGTATTGAACCATGCCCTGTGCGACGCGCATATTTTCCTGTTTTCACGTACTTTTTCAAGACATGACTTCGCAGATCCGTCGTCACCTTGGGCATTCACTTTGCATGGTGTGCCTCTTGCACGCCTGGGCTGCCTTTCGCGGATTGACGTCTCACATTGGGTTGGGCTGACTTTTGTTGGGGTGGGGTGCCTTGGGGGCGCTCACCCTGTAGAGTGTTCGTCAGTAGTTGGTCTTGACTAGTTGGTTTGAGGTCGGATGAATGTGCACTAGCCGCTCAGGCTCATCTTTGCTGGCATCACATGGCACATGGAGTCTTATGTGTACTTCTCCTACGAACAAGTGCTGAAGCGATATCTGGCCGCTTTGGAGTTCTGGGAGTTCTTCGGTTCGGGCTGGTTGCTTTCCGCGCTGATGGGACCCTCGGCGGAAGGACAGCAGCGATTCAGTGCTTGAGGTCTAGAAAACTTGAATGCATCAGTCAAGAGGAATGTAACCTGTCAGCTTCCAAAGGGAACTCATACTTGCACACAAAGTGCAGCAATCCTACCCCAAAGCCGACATCGCAGCCAATTGATGTGAAGAGGCTGCCTTGATCTGCACAAGTGCAAAAACTTGTCGAAGTAAAATTAAGTTTGTGAGCTCTTGCAGCAGAAGCCCTCCAAGTGTACATGAAATAACATCAGGGATCATGCAAGGCCCGCACGTCCTATCTTTTTCTATTGCAGGAACTTGGGTGCAAGCATCGGGTCGAAGCCAAAAAGGCACCTGAAACTGAGGTCAGGTTTGCGTGATGCATCGCACCATTAACGAGATGGACTTCTCGGGTTCTGAGCTCCTCAAAGATCCACACATCAACTCGATTGGCTCTCTACGCCTCAAGGCGTCGCCGATTTTCTCCGCAACGGCCGCTGCCGTGCTGGGCGAGGGCGCGAGACCTTACAGCGTAAATGGAGAGAGTCGGCTTCTGACGTATGCCGTGTACGTCTGGGGCGAGGACAGCAAGCAGCAGAAATTACCTTGACCTTGGTTCCTTTTCGTTGCTTCGGTTTCTAACCTTGCCAGTTACTAAAGGCCTTCCTGAAGTGGCTTCCGGCGTACATCAGGCGCTTCCACAGCCTCGGAGTCTACAACCTCATGGTTTTCGGTGACATTGCCACGTACCAGGTTTGCTCTGCGATCCAGAGGGCTGTTTGCCTCCAACTGGACACGAAGAACTCTCTCCACCGCTATACGATTCCGTTGGCTCTCATGAACCTGGGTGTGGATGCTTTCATCCTCGATTTTGATATCTATCCCTTTCAGGACCACCTTGTGGTGATGACTTTGAAGTCTTGGCAAGAGAGTTTTCCATTGACGATTTACTGTCTGACTTCTGCTGAGTACTTGCAAGTTGTTTCCCCAATCCTGAGTCAAAGCTTCGCACGCATCCTACCTCGAGCCTGGCGGGCCTTCCGTCCTTGGCACGTCCGGGGATTATGCACCTTTCGACACATGCTTTTCCGACTGGGGACTTTGAGGGTTTTGACAAGGTTGTTAAGAAACACTGTCAGTCTGATTATGTCCAGCCAGAGGATCCGACGCCTGTGCTGATTTCTGAAATGGAGAGCTACAGTGTCGCGCCGGAGCTTCTGATTGGTGGCTCATTCGGCGATGCGTGCATTTGCAATGCTACAGGGCTTGGATTCAGGAACATTTTCGTGCTACTTGCAGGCACGGACTACATCATTCAGCAGCCCTGCAAAGATGGCATGCGTACGCAACTAATAATGTTCACTGCTGCCACTGCGGTTGCACGCAGCGTAGCTCCAAGGTATTCTTCACAAGAGTTAGGGGCTGCTGAGGCATTGGCCTTCTACCGGAGCACGCCTTCGCTTCGCGACTTCATCCGTGGCTTGTTGGACTGGCTGTATGAGCATCCCTTCCCGCATGCTGTTTCGCAGAGGGCACTGTCTGCGTTTTTGGGGGAAGCCCGGCTGGAATTTAGCACGGTCCCAAATTCTTCTGCGCATAATGGGCTGTGATGTTTTCCGCCAGGAGTGTTAGCACATCTGTGGTTGCTTCAAGCTCATAAGTCCGAACACGGCCAAGGAAGCACCCATGCAGAAAAAGCAAAGCACGAGTCCAGTCGTCGTGAAAGCTGAGAGATTGGCCCCTTGGCTTCCGGACCGCGCTAGCCCTGGAATCGCTTGGGCTGTGCTGGATCCAGGTGCGTGGCGGGTGCTCATCAAACACATGGGCATTGGATTTGTTACGAAGATCGACATTGTATAGGAGAGAGCAATTAGACTGCTTGCATCGGTACATGGGTGTAGAAATCCAGCATGGCTATATGCAGGTTTGTGTCCTGGTGCACATTGCGAGCTTATAACTGTTGTTGACATGTAGAAGCAATGTAGCTGCTGCAGAATAGACTGGATCGGCCGCAACCAGGTAGGAAAGTCCTGCTGTGACTCATTGGCGACCTCACTGTCCCCAGGTGTACAGTTTTCCTCGTCGGCCAACCTGGAGACTTCGGGCTGGGCGGGCGATGCAGAGGACCCAGCTTTGCAGGTCCTGCCCCGGTGCGGCAACAGTGGGCTTCTGCAGCAAAGAGCAGCCCCCGCCCCCGGTGTGAAAACCGCTTCACTGAATCGTGTGCGCAGCTGCTGTGTCGACCTCAGATGTCCCAGCCAGTGTTCCGATCGTCACGTCACTCGCCGCAACGACCGGAACTGCTCCGGTACACCATCCAGACACCACGCGACACCTGGACAGAGGGTAAATAGACAACAGAAGTAGATACATGCACAAAAAGATGATGCTCGTTTGCCGGCTCGGACTTGCAACATCGAAAGCATTGACCACAACGGTAACTCCCTCACTGATGTTCATGCGCTCGCTCATAGGTTCCGATTGGGCACCCAATGATGCTGACGATGTTGGCTTTGTTTTTTGTTTAATGGCTTTGATTGGAACTGTGATACTGTTGTCCAGCAGCCCAGGTCTAGCTAGCGTTTCGGTTGTGTGTGCACATCAGAAGGGAGTTTTCAGCCAGAGCATGTGCCGTTGACAGACCTCTCGCACCGCAGGCGCCTTGAGTCCAGGAAAAAGTTAGAGCGGCCGACCCGCGAGTTGTTACGGCATTGCATGGCAGCGGAGCCTCGGTGACGACCGGGGTTCCCCAAGCTGCTTTTCCTGGGCCAGGATTTTCCTGGTGCTTCTCCGGAGCGACGTTGTCTCCGATTACCTGTTCCTCCGGCCGAAGGAGGTGATCTTTTCGGGATTTTGTGAACCACGAGACCTTTTACAAGTTCGGTGGCCCTTGTACGGCTGCAGGACCCTTCTGGTGGAACGTGCCCGTCCGACACTAGGTCGGAAGACTTTGTGGCTCAGACATCTGAGCAAGTTTTGGTTTCGGCCAAGGAGGCAGCGAGCCTTTGGAGAGACTGGGGTTTTCTGGTCCAGGTACCCGTCTGCTTGGGGAAGTGTGTGAGTGAACTTTGGGAGTATGGCTACGGGATCGGCAGAAGTGCCGGGTGAGACCGACGAGCCCAGGCGCAGAACTTCGCCGACCGCGCCCTCATCTCCTATCAGGCCGCGGTCCCCTCGAGATACCCCTCCGTATGGCGATGGTCTTGATGGAAGCGGTGCGGCTCCAGGTGCGACCCCTGGTGGCCGAAAGTTCGTGGACTATCGCATGGAGCCGGCCCCTGTTTGGGATGGTGAGATGCCAGAGGTGAAGTACCGGGAGTACGCCCGGAATCTTCGGCTTTGGCTGGTGGAAGCAGTGGAGCGCCTCCCCGGCGCACTGGTGGGGAAGCGCATCATTGATGGGATTCCCTTTGGGAGCAGGTTGGCGGCCCTTTTGGCTCACTTGACAGTCGAAGACATCACGGCCGAGAAGGTCTACGAGAAGATCGTAAGCATCATCGAGGACGCTCACGATTACCTTCGCGACGCCAAGCTGGAGCAGGCCTTCGAGATGGCGATCTTCAAGGGTCGCCGCCGGGCTGATCAGTCGTTGAGCGGCTTTGTGGCGACGAAGAAGGCCTCGTTCGGGGAGCTGAAGCGACAAGGCCTGGATTTGTTGAGCAGCCCGGCGGGGAGCCACCTGTTGGGCCACTTGCTCCTCAAGCAGGGGAACTTCAGCGAAGACCAGAAGCAGAGGATCAAGGTCCTGACCGACGGCTCCATTGACTTTCCGAAAGTGGAGCAGGCGATCCGGAAACTGTTTGGAGACACTGTTGACGACCCGACGGCAATGGCTGCGGCGAGGTCCCGGTCCTTCTGGCAGGAAGGAGACGAGGCTGAAGATGATGACGGCGGCTACGCCGATGGTGGCTATGATGCCGAGCCCTACGGCCACCAGACCTTCTACGAAGACCAGGCCTACGATGAGGAGCCCGACTTGTTCGAGGACTTGCTGGAGGCCGACGAGGGTGGATCCGTATACGTATGCATTGAGGAGCCTTTGCCGAGCCTGATGGATGAGGACCAGGCCCTGCAGTACGCCGGTGACCTCCTTTCCTTTGTCTACGGCGAGACCTCAGACTGGTGGCAGCGCAAGGGCAAGGGAAAGGGCAAGAGCAAGGCCAAGGGCAAAGGCAAGGGCAAAGAGAAGGGTGCCAAGGGCAAGCACAAGGGCTTTGGAATATATGGCACCCAGATGTCATATCCGGAGCACCGACGAGCGCTACAGCAGGCCCGGACCGATCGGGGACACAGTCGTCCGCCGAGCCTCCCGGGCCCACCTCGGCCACGGGCTTCTCTTGAAGATATTAAGGCCCGGACCCGATGTCATCAGTGCAAACAGATTGGGCATTGGTCCAGAGAGTGCCCACAGAGGCAGGCGAGGCCTCGATCACCGTCTCCGAGCCAGCCGGGTTCAAGGGTATCAACGAGCCATTTCTTCATGGGCGACCCCGTGACTGTTGCCTCGGCTGAGGGAGAGATTTTCCTTAGCAGTTCGATCAAGGAGCCCCATGCTTTTGTTGGTTTTGTTCAGAATGACGTCAGCCTGGACCACCAGTGCCAGGTGTTCGAAAAGGAGCCCAATGGGTTCGAACGACAAGACCGCCCTCTGCTGTCGGAGGAATACATGTCTGAGGTGCTCTTGAGTTACACGTTTGCTAGCAGCAATGATGAGTCGGAGGGTTGTGCGTTGGTTGATACCGCAGCTCAGCATGGACTGATTGGAGAGCAGACTTTGCACAAGCATGACATGTACCTCCAGAAGCATCACAAGTTGAGGGTGCAGATCACAGATGAGACTGGGGGAACTGTACCTGGAGTTTGTGGTTCTGAGCAAGTCACCAAGGTAGCGTACATACCTATCGGGATTGCCGGGAGACCAGGTGTGCTTCGAGTTCAGGTTGTTCCTGGGGTGATTCCATGCCTGATTCCCGCGTACCTTCTGACAGATGCAGGGGCCATCATAGACATGCCGGGGTCCTGGGTCTACTACACTCTTGTCAGTGCAGTGCAACGAATGAGACGTCGATCCACAGGACACATGGAAGTGAGCTTGTGCGAGTTTGAATCGAAATGGGAGATTCCGGCAACATATTCCTTCATCAAGAGTGAGATTTGGGGTGCCCCTCAGCTCCCTTCGCATTCGCTTTCGATTTTTGATGGAGCGGGACAGGCTGCCGCTGTTCCTTCGGCGATGGCGGCGCTGTGTACTGCGCTACTTCTTGGCTGTGGCTACTCAGGCAGCTGTGGCTTTGGAGCAAATTATCTCGCAACCGCCATTGCGCAGGGCCCGCAAACTAGCAGCGAGACGAGAGGCCTTGGAGCGAAGAGCACTTCTACTTCAACGCGAAGAACAAGCGCTCCTGGCCGCTACCCCGGTGGACCGTGCACCGGTGAGGGTCTTGGTGGCGAACGAGGAGCATACCGAACAACGCCGTCCCAAGGTGGAACACCGCGGCCGCTCCAAGTACCTCACGCCGATCCTGAGGAGTTCGCCTACCTGTCAGCATGTGGAGACCAAGCACGGGGCGAACTCAGACTGGAGCTGGGTAAGATGCACCAAGTGCGGGCTGACCGAGCAAGTTCCCAAGATGAGTTTGGAGAAGATGAATGTGTGGAACACGGTGCTCATCTTCCAGAAGCCCGACTACCTCACTCCCGACGAGAAGAAGAAGGAGCAGGAGGAGAAGCGCACGGCAAAGCAGAATCCCAGGTCGGTGGCAACGACAGCGGCGCCAAGGACTCCTGCGACGAGCTCGAATTTGCCACATGTGAGACTTCAGGGCGTGATGCTGGGTCCCCAGGAGATCGGGATTGGAACGCCAATGTCGGTACGTTCGGGAGCATCCGGAATACCGGGCGAGTCGGACGTGGAGCCGATTGGGTCGATGACCGAGGACGAGATGCAGCTCTGGCGCCGAGATGCGATGTCGGTTCCCGACCTAGAGCCTCCCTCTCTCTTCCAGCGATGTCCTCACTGCCAGTTTGGAGGAATCCACCTGATGAAGAGTGTGGAGGAGAACCGCCTGATGTGGAGGTGCATGGGCGGCCGGCTCGACTGCCCGTACATTTGGCGGGAGTATGGAGACCAACTGGTGGTGGCCACGGGAGTTCGACTATGTGTAAAGTGCCATCGTGGCGAGCTGGAGGTGATCACGCATCAGAACCGACAGGCGCTCCTCTGCCCCCAGTGCAGAGATCTGACGCTGATGTCAGAATGGAAGGAGGTGATGGAGATGCACCAGAGGCAAGGAGGCTACAACCCAGTGCTGATGCATCCTCCGGCTTGAATGAAGCAGGAAATTTCAAGTTTCTTGGGTGGTTCAAGGAACCGAGCCTGGAGGAAAAGCTGCGTGGCCTCGACAAGGTGCTGTCATCGATCAATCCGGAAAACTCAGTGGTGTTGGAGTTCACGGGCACTTCGGTGCCATCACAGGTACCTGTGAGATGCCGGTGCCCCCTTGGGGCGCGGGTGGTGGCGACCTCGCCAGCTTCCGGACTCTGGAACGCGCTTCAGATTGATGCGACCGGCCGTGCTGAGTATGACCTCGGTGCCCGTGCCTCCGTCTATGTGATCCAGGAGTTTTCTAAGGACTTTGCAACCTACCTCCAAGACCAGGAGTTTGAGCCGATTGAAGTGACTCTGGATCGAAGAGAGAAGAAGAAGCTGGGTGCTGCTCTGGACCATGTTCTTGGGAGCACGGAGCAGTTGTTTGAGATGTGCGAGGAGTATCCGGGCATGGATGGTTTCGCTGGGGACAGCGGAAGTAGCTGTCAAGTCTTTGGGACTGAAGGAGAGGCCAATCGAGACGATGGCTCTTGTGATCAGCCACCTCATTCACTACAACCACTCTCGGCTACAGCCGGACTGGACCTCGATGAGATCCGGGCTCAGCGGAAGTATCGATGTCTTCCGGTGGATTTGGAGCTGACGGTGCTCTGCAGAGAACTCAAGGAGTCTCAGGCCGAGGAGTCGTGGTTTGATCACCATGGACAGGCGATGTTTGTGAGTCTTCTTCCTCGGCGAGCACTACTGCCCTCTGTGGGCCCTGGCGGTCGGACGCAACGTTGGACTGCGGTGTTGGTGAAGCCTGGAGAATGGAAGTGGTTGGAAATGGGTGCCAGTGGTCCATGGCACGAGGAGGTTCGGCAACATGGTGCGTTGGTTGTGATTTACCGGTGGCCGGAGTACTCCGAGACCCTCGCCACCTCGTATGATCTCACGGACAAGGAGAAGGCCGACGTGCTTCGTTGTCACGTGAACCTCGGTCATCCTCACCCGCGGGAGTTTGTGCGGCTCCTCAAAGCTGCCGGGTCACGGCATGATGTGGTTCAGTATGTTCTGCGTGAGTTCGAGTGCCCGGGGTGTGTCAAGGAACGGAGAGCCCCAACTCGTCTTCCTGCTGCAACACCCAGGACATACGACTTTAACGTCATTGTGGGGGTGGACCTCCTGTTTGTGCACGGGCTTGGCCGTCGAGCAGAACATCCAGTTCTTAACATTACGTGCCACGGTACCTTGTACAGCACGTTTGGCCTGATAGACCCCTTACAACGTTCTTCGCGGGTGACCTGGTTGGGTTTCACTCGTCTGTGGCTGCGAGTCTTCGGAGCCCCTCAGTACCTGATGTTCGACGAGGGGAGAGAGTTCACTGCAGCGACCTTTCAAGATGGACTGGAGAGACATGGGATCATACCTCTGGAGGTGTCGCGCCAGGCTCCTTTTGCCAATGGCGTGGTCGAGCGTCGTGGCGGAATGTTCAAGGAGGTGTACTACCGCACCAAGGAGATCGTCCAGCCGAAGGACCTGGATGAAGTGGAGGCCATGATCTTTGAGGTGAGCTGGAGCCTACAGACGCTCACAAATCGCAGCGGCTTCTCGCCGGCACAACGGGTGCTGGGAAAACAGCCGACCCTCTCCTTGGACACGTTGTCGGATCAGAGGGAGTACCACCTTTCTACAACGCAGGATGCTGCTTGGTCCCGAGCTCATGAAATCCGGACCGCGGCGAGAAAAGCTCTCATTGAGCTTGATGCCAAGGCTCGACTTGCGCGCGCTCGACTTGGTCGTCCTCGGCGCGAACTGGAGCGACTAAGCTTCGTGGAGGGCGAACCAGTGATGGTATGGCGAACTGGCCGACGAGGATCCACGGCGAAGGTGGGCCCCTGCTACGTGATCCTCCATGAGGGCTCTACTGTTTGGGTCACTCGTCGTGGTGAGATTTGGAAATGCCACATCACCCAAGTGTTCAAGATGGCTGTGGCAGACCAGGAAGGCCTCGAAGCAATCCCTGCCGAATTGCTCGAGGCGAAGGCAAGACTTCGCTATGACAGTGAGAAGATGAAGTTTGTGGATGTTGCAAAGGAATGTGAGGACTCCTCTGGACCCCCTGATGGCGGAATGTCGATGGTCCAGATCTTCATGGACCCCCTGATGGACAGGTGAAGCAGGAACTTCCCGAAGAGCGGAGATTATCCACAGAAATCCCTGGTCCAGATCCGATGTCAGTGGCATTGCCAGGCACGTCAGATGTGCAGATAGATGTTTCAAGTTTACGTCCCGAAGAGCAGAGATTATCCGCAGAAATCCCTGGTCCAGATCCCGTGGTCATTAGTGATGTTTCAGAGCTAGAGTCGGGTGGTCCGTCTCGTGCTAGGCAGGTGGAGGGGGGTCAATCGTCGTCGTCGACGAGTTCCAGTTCGAGTTCATCGTCTTCTTCATCGTCGACTCCAAGGGCACCGTCTGGCCAGGCAGAGTGGCCACCGTCAGGAAGCGGTACCCAGTTGAGACGTTGGTCCCGGTTCGATTTGAACCCGACGAGATATCGAGTGTCCAACAGCACCATGCCAGCGGTCGCCATTGACCGGGACATGCAGCTCTTCCACAAGCTGGAGAATGATGATGTGGTGTACCGACATGATGAGATCTACGGTCCCTTCGTTGCCCTCACCAAGCAGGCTGGCAAGGAATTGAACGAGCGCAACTTCACGCCGGAGGAGGTCAAGCTTTTCAATGAAGCGAAAAAGCTGGAGATCGGAAACCTTGAAAGTGGAAATGCGATCAAGTTTGTCCGGGATCGTCATCAGGTGGAAAAGATATGGAAGGACCTCAAGCACCGGGTGATGCCGTCAAGGTTTGTCCTCACAAAGAAGTCCCAGGAGCTGGGGCAAGGCTGGAAGGCCAAGGCGCGCTGGATTTTGTTGGGCCACCGCGACCCCGACGTCCTTCAGCTAGAGCGCTTCAGCCCGACACCTGCGACTCCGACTGTCTACCTGGTCTTTCAGCTGATATCGTCACTTCGCTACCGCCTCTTCATTATGGACGTTACTTCAGCGTTTGGACAGAGTGACCCGGAGACTCGTCAGCAGGGACCTTTGTTTGCGACGCTTCCCAAGTCCGGGATTCCTGGGGAAGAAGACTGGGTCTTAATCGAGGTGCTGACTGCAGTCTATGGACTGGTGAATGCGCCATCGACATGGCGAAAGACTGTGGTTCGAGTGTTGCTCGCCCTTCAGTATGTGGAAAGTGTCTTCGACCCGTGTTTGTATTATCTCCCCTACTCTCCGGACGAGATCGAGCATGAAGGCCAACGCGGTTGCGCTGGCGTCGTCTTGCTGGACGTGGACGACTTTGCGCAGGGCGGCAACGAAAGACACCAGGAGCTGATGAATCAGCTCAAGGAGCGTTTCCGGTTTGGAAAGTGGAGGTGCCTGTATGGTGGCCATGGCGAGTATCTCGGACGAACTGTTCGTCAACGAGAAGACTTTGAGGTGAGGATTGACATGCAGCGGTACATCGAGGAGAAGCTTCGCCCCGTCACCCTCCCTCGTGAACGAGTACGCCAGGGTGACGACACCGTACTTACTGAGAAGGAGGTAACGATGCTCCGTGGCGCTGGTGGATCCTTGCTGTGGGTTGGAAAGGAGTGCCGTCCTGATGTGGCAGCAGCGTGCGCCATGAGTATGTCTTGGGGATCCGCCGGACCTACCATCAAGCATGTTAAGGCGGTCAACAAGACGATCAACGAGTTGAAGAAGACCTCGGACGTGTACCTCCGCATCCTCCCCGTCCCCCTGGCCAACGGCATATGGTTGTCGATATCCGATGCTTCGGTTGCAAACGATGATGAGAAAAGCCAGGGTGGTTTCCTGATTGCCTTTGCTGACAAGGCGATCAAGGATGGCGGCTTGCACGACTTCAGCGTCAACAGCTGGAAGAGCCACCGTGTGAGAAGGGTGGTGAAAGCTTCCTTGGGCAGTGAGGCCCTCGCAATGGATGATGGCCTGGCGGAGCTAGAGTGGATCCGCGCCCTGTACACCGAGGCAGTTGTTCCGAACTCAACGGTGCTCGATGGCACGCGCTTTGGTGATGATGAATCAGTGGCTATTGTGCGCCAGTGTGATCCTCAAGATCCGACGATTTTGGTCACTGATGCTCGAGCTCTTTACGACCTCTTCCATCGTCGGAGTGGAGCGGCTGGTCTGTGCCGGAGGGCACAAATCGATGTATCGGTGATGTCGTCGTCGGCGAAGGCTCTACGAGCAGAAGTACACTGGCTGCCGGGCAAGTACATGCTGGCCGATGCTCTTACGAAACGACTTGGAAACTCTGCGCTAGTTCGAAAGGTTTTGTCTCTGGGCAAATACGCCCTCAAGAGAGACGGCTTAGAGTTGCTCCTAGACCTGGAGGCTCCCCCTGATGGATGTGATACTGTTGTCCAGCAGCCCAGGTCTAGCTAGCGTTTCGGTTGTGTGTGCACATCAGAAGGGAGTTTTCAGCCAGAGCATGTGCCGTTGACAGACCTCTCGCACCGCAGGCGCCTTGAGTCCAGGA